GATCAAATTTATAAGATTCACTCAAAGTTTGCTTTAATTGAGGTTCAGCAGCACGTTAGGCGTACGACGGTCATTGGGCATTTCTCTATCTCATAGCTCGCCTAGATATGCTTAGACATTATAATAAAAATAGCAATTGTAATAATAATAAATAAAATAACGGTTCTAAAATACTTTCATACTACGAAATAACTCTCAAGTTTATAAATTATTTTGTTTTACCAAATGATATAATTAATTCCTTCATGAGTTGAAATAGCTAATTATAAGCACTTCAAATTTAAGTTAAAAACTCTATATGATGCAATTGCTTGACGAAATGGGTTTTATAATAGAGTGGTTCTATCGAGAGAGGTCTCTAAGAAACATGGCTTACTTTATTATTCATTAGGTGGATATAATATCTATCTTCATCGTTACTTTTACATTGGATTTAATTTAGTATACTTTTTCATTTAAATGATTTAACACACTTGTATATCCAAAACTTTCACGATTATGCCAATAATATCCAAATTTCCCGAAATACCACTTATATCCATGTTTTAAAGTTGTTCTTTGCCAAATCTATCCATTTCCCAATATATTTTTGGTTAAATACACTTGTATATCCAAAAACACCGTTAAAGAATGTGAATGAATTGGATATAAGTGGTATTTCGGGAAATTTGGATATTATTGGCACAACCGTGAAAGTTTTGGATATACAAGTGTATTTAACCAAGATTTTTTTATGATGTTCTAGGATATAATATATCATTATATATGATGGTGTAGGATATTAAATCCTCTAATTTTAGGTTCAAATTGATGCATTTTCTCCTTTACCGTTCCCTTTTATTGGTTAAAAATTTTGATGATATTTTTCACTTTAAAATATCGTGAGCGGAATCATTACACAACAATTTGTGTTTTTTCGTTTCCTCTTCTCTTGGTTAGACATTGTGTCCATATTGATTCCTATATTGATTATCGAATTACTACTTTTTTGTTCTTTTTCTGATGCAAGATATGATTTTATGTTTGATAATATAGATTTATTTTTCAAGCATGTGGATGCTTGAGACTTTTCATTTGCCTCATAACTTACATTTGACAATGGCTCCAAACTTGGATGGGTTTCTATTCAGCACATAAATTTTTAATGATGTAAAATTTATGAAACTAAGATGCATATTAACAAACAATGTAAGGTCTCATCTTCCCTCTTAAGCACTACATATCATTGTTTACTTACCATTAAATCAAAGTCTTTCTAACTTGAGTAAGAGCTACAATGACTTTTATTAACTTTCACTACTCATATATCACAAATGTTCAAATCATTATCAAGTGTTCATACAATGACTTTTATAGTTGTGGATTCCCCCCAAAATGTTAGGTATGTTGATTTTAGTTTTTGCCTTCTTTTCACTTTGATTTAGCTTTTTATGTGTTGCTCTATTAGTTGAACTTGCCAGCTGGAGATCTGCATGATTTGTTTCATTATATCATTGAATACACTAAAGTCAATGGAACCATGACTGTGTTAGTTAGTTTGTTTCTTTTTAAGGACACTCTAAACATATACTTTGTTTCATTATATCATTGAATACATGAAAGTCAATGGAAAAGGAAAAAATTTTTAATTGTATACTGAAGATTGATTATGTATGTGTGATGTAAAACAACTCTTATCATTGTTCTTCTTTGACATTTTTATATGGATATGACTTGGTTTGAAAATATGTATTTATGTTAGTGTAGTTGGAAATTGTTTGTCATTTTTTAAACTTCATCAGTCAAATACATTAAATACTTTACTATATTATTCATGGAGAACTTACCAAATTAAATAGTTACTTCAATCCCCAACAATATGAACCATAAAAAAAAATATACCTCAATGTTTACTACACATACACATGAAAATCAAATTCTCCGGCCAAGAGACCGGACCCTAATCTAGTTTTAATAATGATAAGTTTAGAGTTATGCATACCAAGGTTAAACATGCTATACCGAGAAATATTATATCCACAACAATTCAGCCGAGATGGATAGGATTGGTGGAGATAATAGTAACGCAAAATTGAGCAAATTGGGCGGGTGGTTGCATAATAATCATAAATGCAGATAATGAAATGGAACTAAAAGGTATGGGTTTGTTTGTTTGTTTTCCCTCCTCCTTTTCGGGCAGTAAATGTAATCGGGTAGGAAACGAACGCGGGCTGCTGGGAAAAGAGCAGGAAAGCACAAGATAAGAGCCCCAACCCAACAACGTCAATGGTCACAAAAGCATGAACAAAAACTCGTATTTCCCACGCTGTTGGGCTTTGACCGTCTGTCCGAGAAAATGGTAAACTATGAATCAGTCCTGTTTTCACTTTGATAACAAATTAGGTACTCAAATATTTTTTTCCCCCGCATTTCAGTCCTATTCAATCGTTGTATGCTGGAAATTAGTCCACCTTTGTGTTCATGGATGCATCCTTTAATATCTCCCTCGTTATTATTTCCGATCCAACTTTTCTCGTGAAACTAATATGACAGGTTCCCATAAAAAAGGAAACTAATATGACTAGACAAATGAGATTTTACATTTGGATAAGATCCATCCTCACCTTCGTCATATTTCTTTTGAGGTAGCACTTAGAGGTGTTCAAACGGTGTGCTTACCGTGGTAACCATTTTAACCGGTAGTATTTAGAGAATTTGGATAACGGTTTGGTTTGGTTAAATTTTTTAGCATGGTTGGTTTAGGTGGTTTGGTTTGGTTTCAAACACTCCTAACCAATCAAACCAAATTAACCAGTTAAGTAATTAGTCATATATCTCATAAATATTACATATACATACTTAATACTTTGCATAACCACTCAAGTGTCAAATGTTTCTCTCTCTCAGGCTCATAAGAAATAAAGTTCAATATTGTTCCTATATTGTATATTTGTATTTGTAGAGTGTAGACCGCAACATATGAACTCATATTTTAGATAAAACTCATACAATATGTTTTTTTTTTTGCCAATAGATAACTTGCATTACCAAGAAAAGATATAAAGTTTACAGCACCGAACTCGCCCAAATGCGAAAATCAAACCCCGAAATACTGATAGGACACAAGGAAAGGGCTTTCTTAGCCACCAAATGGGCCACCCGATTGCAACGCCTACCTATATACCGGATATTGAACCTCGAGAACTGTCGTTTCCAACCGTTAACTTCCCGCAGAATTGCACCACCTCTAGCATCCATCATATCACCTCGATCAATCTGCTTCACCACAACCTGTGCATCCCCAAGGAACTCTATATCCTGAATACCATTTATAGCACACCAGCGAACAACATCCCTAAACGCCAGAAGTTCCACCAAATAAGGATCAACCATGCCCTCATACCGGAAACCGAACGCAAACGCTATGGCACCTGAATGATCCACTATCACCACTCCAGCCGCACCATGAGAATCAGCACATACAGCCCCATCGATGAAGCACCGCAGCGGAGAGGAAGAGGGAGGCAGGATCGGCGCGCCAAACAGCTGGGCAGGAGGTGCGCGAGCAGGAGTACCATCGGCCGCACTTCTCCATTCCTGAACCTGGACAGCGAACTGATGCAAAAGGGCCGGGGTGGTGTATTGAATTCCATCAAAGGCCGCCCAATTGCGGGACTTCCAAACCCGCCAAAGGAGTGAAACAAATGCCATGATAAGGTCCGGATCAGCATTCTGCTCAAACCAGCGACGTAAAAACAAGGCGATGTTAATCTCAGGAACACCAGCCCTTGATGGCATTAACCCCGAGGCGACCCACAGCTCCTGAGCCACTCGACAGTGAAGGAACAAATGCTCAATGGATTCACTTTCAAAACAGCAAACTGGACACTCCAACGGAACATCACACCCCTTCTCGCGCAGCGCTTCCATCGTCGGCAACACTCGGCGCATAACTTGCCATAGGAAGACCTTGAGCTTCGGCGGAATAGTGAGACCCCACACCCTTTTCCAAAACGCAGCATCAAACCACGACACCTCTTCCTTCCAACCACGACCAGATTGACTAACCCGAACTCCCAAATGGTATCCTGACTTAACAGTGTACTCCCCTGACGGATCTTCCCCCCAAACCAACCTGTCAGACGCGGCATCTCGGGGCAAAGGAATCCCCAGAATTCGTTGAACAACGTTGGGAGGAAAGCACTGGTCGAGGCAACCACGACACCACTCACCACGCTCCTCATCGATCAAAGTATCCACCGTCTGATCTGGTTGAAGCAACACTGCCGGCTGCGGAAGAGAAGCTGGAGCAACACCCGAAATCCAATATGTCGGATGAAAACTTTGAAAGGAATGTCTATTTCAGGCTATGATAATTGCTAAGAGAATAAGTCAATTTACAAAACACAACAATTCATTACCATTGGCATATATTTTCGTTACGTGAGTACTTCTATTGATAGTAAGATAATTATATTAGTTACATGTATTTATGATAAGAGTTAAGTATAACTATGTGTTGATAGGTATGTTTTATTCATTATATAAATGGCTAATTGATGCATTAATCGGAGATTTCCTCACTTAAGATAATGTGTTATATTGGTTAATCTAGTTAACCAATTAATCAAACCGAATAAACTTTAGCTTGGTTAATTTATTTGTAATATTAATTTGGACGATTTGATTATGATATTGTATTCCATGGTTAATAGAATTTAGACTGATTTGGTCATTACCATATTAACTATTTGAACAGCCCTAACCACTTGGATGGATGGTTCAATTATTTCTCAATTGTAAAATATAAATATCTACTAGAATATCTTTTTCAATAGTCCATGAGTCCACCAACCAATTAAATTAAATATAAATTAACTGGATTGGAATAATGGTTTTTTTTAAAGAAGTTAGGGGCAAAAACATCAATAAAGGTTAAATTAATGAACCGGTCCATGAACAACTCAAATAATGGGTATGAATATGATTGAAAACAAGCTTACGACAACTCACAACTCTATCCCTACTGCTCGAAAAGAAAAATCATTTAACTCGAAACGTCCCACTTCCCTATGCGGGGAAAAAAATAAGACAAAAATAAGGAAGGAAAATGCAGGCTGCTCTTTCCTCCTGCACCGAAAATTCCAGCCACAGATCCTCCTTCCCTAATCTGTTTCTCGTCGGCTGAAATCCAATTCAACGCTCGCTCTCCCTCGCCGCCTCCGTCCGCGAGGTGATCGCCGCCGTTTCTCTGATTCATCTTCCATGGCCGCCAATTCTCAGCCCGCAGGTCCGATTTTCCCTTTCTCAATTCTTCCATTTTTCTATCTTCTATCTTCTTCTTCATCTATTGTCCGTTCCGCCGATGAGTTTCATGTTCCCCGAACAATTGCTTCGCCGGCTTCATCCCCTCGCTCCTCGATTAATTTCTGATCGGATTTGAGCCAGCCTTGCCTTGGGCTATTTAATTTCACAATTTGTGCTGCTTGTTGCTTCCACGACGAAAAATTCCTGCTTGTGAACTTCGGTTCAGAATTTCTATTGTATTCGAGCTGGATTCCGTGGAATCGGTATCAGCTGGTAATACCTGAAGTTGAGATTTTAAAAATGTTGCTTTGATAATGGAAATTTTGCTTCTGCGGGTTTCAGTGAAATTACCTGTATTGTCTGAACGCAATTGCATCGTTCTATGTTTTGTTTGGGATGTTGATGACCTTTGCACTCTGGACGGAAACGTCCGAAGAGTTGATGATCTAAATATTTACTTATGACTCTCGACTGTTCTTATGCTGTAGGCGGTGGAGCTCCTCCGAAACCTTGGGAGCGTGCAGGGCCATCATCGTCTGGTCCAGCACCTTTCAAACCTCCGTCAGCTGGGAGCACCAGTGCTGTCGTTGAAGCATCTGGTACTGCAAAACCAGGTGAAATTGTTCCACCTGGCAATAACAATGCAGTGGCGAATGCAAACCCCAACCAACGGCCTGTACCAAACAGGCCGTGGCAGCCACAGACAACGCAGTATGGAGCAGGAGGTTTGTTTTTTTTTATGTCCTGGATATGCTCGCAAGCGTTCGAATTTTGTGTATATATGTACGCTTATGGTTGAGTTAAGTCTCGATATGTCAGCTAACTTAGTTGGTTTAATTGGAAAATGCTATTTATTTTCGTCTATCGTGCCAACTTTTACCGAGAAGAAAGTATGAGCTTCCTTAAAGAAGTGGTTCTCGGGAAATAATCGCAGAAGCATGAAAATTCCATCACTAATCAGAGCAGGAACCTTATTTGGTTGACTAATCAAGTTACTTTCTTTCTTGCTACTATGCAAGATATGCTCACTAGTGTGCATTTTGTGTACACTTGATGCATATAATTAAGTTCTCTCTTGGCACCCTAGGTTGCTTGGCCGATTTAGTTGGAAAATGCTGTTGTATTTCGTCGTCTCTCCTCGTAGAGCTTTTCTAGGGGAAAGACAGATGAGTTTCTTCAGTAAAGTGGTTCGGAGGAAATAGTCATAGAATACCTAAAGTTCCATCAGAAACCATGGCAGGAATTGGTTGACTATTATCAATTTTCACTCTCATGGTGTATTTCTTTGATTGTCATCTATTTATATGTTTTGGTTCTTGCTTCATGTTAATTTCTTCATTTCAGGGTATGGTATGAGTAATTCATATGGAATGGGAGGTGGATACAGTAGCAGTTTGTATGGAAACAACATGTACAGAGGGGGATATGGTGGTTTAAGTGGTGGCGGAATGTATGGCGGTGGCGGAATGTACGGCGGTGGCGGGATGTATGGTGGTAGCGGGATGTATGGTGGTTATGGAAACCAAATGGGTGGTGGGTATGGAATGGATCCTTATGGTCAGCAGCAGAATCCTGACGATGTTCCTTCTCCTCCTGGCTTCTGGATTTCTTTCCTCCGTGTGGTAAGCCAATTTGTTTTGGCTTTTTGTCCCAACTTATGTTTTGCAGACTAAATGATCCAGTTGGAGGGAAGAAAAATTTCACTTCCTATTAACCAACTAATCAATCAATCCTTTAATGTCAAGGGTCAAGCACGTCCTTAACATAGAGATATTTAATATTTTGCATGGGAGTTGGTTGCTGACTGTTGAATTGCTAAAAGATTTCAGTGCTGCTGCTAACCTTCTCACGTCTCATCCTCCCCATATGATGTATATACGATTTCGTTGTTTAATGCATAAGGCACTAGTTTTTTTCCCGGTTTCTTACTGTTGCTCTTGGTTGAGGATAGCTTAAGCTGCTCCTTCCAGTAGGAGAAGGGCTTAGAAAGCTTTTGTTGACTTCTTGTTGTGGACATTTTTCTTCTGAGCGAAAATGTGTGGTGTCAAGTTTTTCTACTTAAATTGTTTTCGTGGGTGTTTGCAGATGGCAGGTGCTGTGAATTTCTTTGGACGAGTAGCAATGCTGATAGACCAGAATACTCAGGCATTCCACATGTTCATGAGCGCTCTTCTTCAGGTTTGTATTCGCTTTTTAGTTGTTTTCTTTCCATCCCTCTTGTTTCTGTTATCGATATTTGTAAATCAGCAGATGAAGCATTGACCGATGTCACATTTCCACCCCACTTGTTTTTCATTTTCCCAGCTGTTTGATCGGTCTGGAATGTTATATGGCGAGCTGGCCAGATTTGTTCTGAGAATGCTCGGCGTGAAAACACCAAAAAAGGTCGACGGATCAGCACCTCAGGGGCAACAGAGGCAGCAGCAACAGAACCAGGGTCCTAAAGCTGGCGGAGGAGGATGGGACAATGTCTGGGGAGACGAGAACAGCAGCTAAGTACAAGGACTTGGTCAACTGTAACCCGTTTTCGACCATGGAAGAGAAATTTGAGCAAGAACAATGAAAGAGATGGGAAAAAAGGAGTCCGTTGGGCGTCATCATGGCTCGGCAGGCATCGAATCCCCGGCACAGTGCAAACAGCGCTACTTACTACACTACAGTAGAATGTCTGCTTGATTGAATAAAATAAACTCTAGTACATACATATGCATATTATGCATTCTCTATCTCTCTCGTTTATCATTGTGGCCTTTACCATCTGTGTGTGCTCTCTGAATAGGTAAGGATTTCTCTAAGCATTGATATTTGTACTGTTGTGAAAATGTGTACCATCATTGAGTGATTTAAAGAAAACAAGAAGAGAAAGATTGGACTTTTGGAGTGTATTACGTTGTTATTCTTAATTAATACCGCCCCTTGAAGGCGATGTGCGTTTTTTAATGCATCAACTAGTAGATTGGTCAACAAATGAGCCAATTTTCAATCAAACCTGCAATGGAGGAACAGTTCTGAAATTGTCGCCCAACGCAGCAACGATGTCACTCCAAATAGCATCAGTCTTCTTTCTCACGGTACTTATTTTATGAAGCTCTCACAATCAGATGAAATGCCAAACAACCGCTTCCGAATTCTAGAAGGCGAGGAAAGGCTCGATGGGACGAGTTAGAAGTTAGTACCATGCTAACAACTTTCATCGCTGTTATTGTTTTTACGTTAAATATAATGATAGGTGTTGCGGGTACTGGTTGCTTGCAGAGTAAGTAACCGCCAATGTGTCCTTTCTCCTTTGTCGTTCTCAATTTCTTTGCATGTCTAGGCCGATGGTGTCCTTGTCCCATTTGGTTTTGTCCTTCTTTGTGTACTAGGGATTCAACCCTATATACTTGCTTAGCTACCAACGTCTGTGGTAAGCAAGCACACAAAACATAGTCGTCAGTCAATAGCAAAGTTTGTCGTGAACTTTTCTGAGCTGATCGTGTATTAATTTTGTTCAATTATGAATGAAGATACCACGTAAAATCTCGTGTAACTCGTATTTATTCAATTTTGCATTCTCAATTTCTAATGGTATCAGAGCAAATATCGTTTCATGTTAGGGTTTGATTCTTGTCTTCACTGCTAGTCACTTATCTTGAGCCCCTTTGCCAAGTCCAACGAAGATGTCAACTTGACCACGCTTAGGAAGGGTTCTTCCTCGTCTGTCGAAATCATTGGTCTGAATTCTCCTTCGTTTCTTCACCCGTCCGATACCTCAAGTCAGATCTTTGTGGGTGAACCGCTAACTGACGCCAACTATGGAGAATGAGCTACTAAGATGTCGAATGCCCTCCTTTCCAAGAACAAACTCGGTATTGTCATCGGAACTGTTCCCAAACCTCCTTCGGGAGAACCGCTTGGGTAAGGTGTAACGCCATGTTCGTTGGTTGGCTTCGTTAAGCTGTGTCACGCGAGATATAGATGAGTCTTCGTTATAGTTTTACTTTGAAACAAATGTAGAATGAACTACTGAAGCGCTTTTGCATGGGCACTCTCCGACATCGATATAAACCATAGCTAGTATCGGATGCTTCGCAGTATAATAATTAGTAAAACGCCTAAAGGGAATTACACCTAATTGAGGAGCTAGGGGGACACATACATGAGTGACCTCTCTCGTATTTCATAACCGGAACAATTTACTTGATTTCTTTTTTGCTTAGTTTGCAAACAACTTCACTAAAACTTAATCGCTAGATAATAGAGAATTGACTGAGTAAACAGTACACCTAGGACCTGGGTTGACAAATATAAATTAATTCACTTTATTGCAGTCCCTTCCACATGTTTTTAAATGAGTAACCCTACCCAGACCCTCCTTCGACGATAACTCTACTAGTAATCCTGTGAGCTTAATCCAAGTTTGAAAGACCAAGTCATCAATGACCAATGCTTGAATACCTGGAACCCAGCCTCTCAGACAGAACATGTTATCGTGATAGTGTCGTTGTACTCCTTCAAACACCCATCAGCAGATATCCACCAAAGGGAGCTGAAAGAAGACTAGTCGATCCTCTAATAAAAAAAAGGGTTATAGGTATAATATGCCCCTTTACTATAACGTTTTATCAAACATGCCCCTTTACTATTTTTTACATCAAACATGCCCCTGTACTTTATAAAAATGATCAAACATGCCCTTTTGTTAAAATTTTAATCCAAAAACCGTTAACTAACGCCGAACTTTAGTTTGGGCGACACAAATGACTAAAATATCTCTAATAAATTCACTTTAGAATCTTTTTGGTTCTTTTGTATAATCAAATCATTCAAATAATTTCACTTTGAAAAGACCCAGGGAAATAAAACAGTGGACAAAACTGACATTTTCCCTCCCATTTGTCGATGTCGGGTCGTCTAAATCTCAATTCAACCATGATTGACGATTTTTTCAATGGAAATTTTAACAAAAGGGCATGTTTGATAATTTTTTCAAAGTACAGGGGCATGATTGATAAAACGTCATAGTAGAGGGGCATATTATATCTATAACCCTAAAAAAAACCTTCACCTCTCTTTTGTGCGCCACAACCAATTAGCCCAATAATGTATCATTGCAAGAGATAGTGGAGACATCGAAAACTGGCCAACCAAACTATTCTCTAATTTTTTCGCTTTTTCCTCAATGATTGATTTAGTAATACAAAGAGATCCATTAATGAGCTCAGACTCGTAGTATTCTAATATGTTATCTTCCGAAGCACCGTAAATGGAAGCACAAGTCCAACCGCCACCAATGGTGCTTGGTAAGGCCCCATCGCTGGTGCTACCATCGAGGTAAGAAGAGTAGTCGCTGAACCCTAGAGTGAACAAAAGACCGAGAATAGAAAGAGGGGGTCGGTTAGCATGCTAACCCCTAAGAGTGGTTTTTTGACACTCCCTTCCTTATTAGTCAATTTTTTTATTAATCATTTGACAAGTATTAATGAAAGTAGACATAATAAATGCAACTTGTAGAATTTAATACTCTTATTAGATTCAAATTAAGAATTAAATACAACACATTAATTACTTGCATTTTTTAAATCTAAACCTATACAAAATGCAATTCTCACTCCTATCTCTAATCCTTCTCTCTCCTATCTTTGATCCTTCCTATTCCAGCAACCTCCGGCCGACTCCTTCCCAAGCCCCTCCCCCGGTGAGTTTTCAATTTTCAAATATGATTTTTCAATTTTCAGATCTGATTTTTGTATCACTGCACTTAAACTCAAAATATGGTATTTGTACAAGTGCACTGGTAGCACTACCAATGCACTGGTAGCGATACCACTCCACTGGTAGCGATATCAGTGCACTGGTACAAATGTCAGATTTAAGTATCAGTGCAGTGGTACAAATACCAGTGCAGTGGTACTACATATCAGGTGGTCGGAGAGATTCTGCCGGCAGGATTTCACCGGCGAAGTGTGGTGGTCGGAGGCTGCTGGGAAAGGATAAATCATAGATAAGAGAGAGAATTGTATTTTATATAGGTTTGGATTTTTTAAAAAAAATAAATAATTAATGTGGTGTATTTAATTCTTACTTTATATTTAATAAGAGAACATTTATTATGTTTACTTTCATTATTATTTGTCTATGATTAATGAAAAGTTGACCAAAGGGGTGTCAAAAAACCAACCTCTTTGAGGATAGGCATGCTAACCGACGCATAGAAAGAGAGATAATCATCCATTTAACTATCAATTTAGTTACAGGTAAACCAATCTCAAATAATATTAGACAAATTATATTTTTTTAAATATTTTTTCATTTATTTTTATTAATTTATTAATTATTTTTGTTAATTATATGTATTTTTAATTTTTTAGAGAAAAGATTTGAACACATTTTATTTATCTACACAATAAATAAAAGCCAAATGAGAAAACTTGAAGCCCCATTTCAAATTTTCTGCATCCAGAGTGAAAGTAGGAAGGACATTTTGGTCTTCACAATTACTTTTTTTTTATTCATTAAAAAGACACTTACTAGGATTCGAACCATGACCACTTTAAAGAAAAGCAAAGATCATAACCAATCACACTAAGTACATTTGTTGTATCTTTTTAAACTAAAAACATATAATCGCAGAGAGGAAACAACCCTTCCCCCATTTCAAATTCTCTGCTCCAGAAGCGTTTGTAGGAAGGGTAGAATAGAGAGTGTCAATTTTTTTCTTTTTCCTCTGTGGAACGGGCCAACTTACCGTACACATGCAGATTTAAACGAGTCAAGGAGTGTCAATTTTTTTCTTTAAGTCCTTTTATTTCTCCGTGGTGGTAAAATATATATGAAAAGGCAAAAACAATACTCCTTTTTATTGCTAAAAAGAAAAAAATTAACAATAAACTAATGCATGGATTCTAATGGGCTAACCGCTAATCATAAAATAAAAGAGTTGAATGGGCCTGACCTACACGGGATTTGCCCATCAAGTAAACCAAATGAACATTATGGGTTTGTCATTCTAAAACAAGCTATTTTCTCTATATTATGCTATTATTTTATATCTTAGTGGCTAAAATATAATGTATTTTAAAGTTATTCAATGATTCAACCTCGACCAACCCAATTAGTCCAATTTTTATCATTTCAAATATATATTATATAATTATTTGATATCATAATGATTAAATTATAGTGTATATTATAGGGAATCGTTTGGTATTTGTTAGTAAAAAACTAAACAAAAAGATCTATTTGGTTATTTTTAACATTAAAACGATCCTACACATTTTCAGTTTTCTTTCGAAATTCTATAGTTTTATTCCCCGAATCAGTGATGTGCAAATGGCGAATTGCAGTCATCTCTTTTCTTTCATTATTTTTTATTTTCAAATAGAAAGTTTAAAAGTAAAGAATACTTAGAGTTTGGCATGGGTCGGTCAAACAAGCTGAATTTCAAGTTTTGGCCCGTTATGAAGCAAATTAATCGGCCAACGGGACGAGTAAAAGCTAGCAACGACTGTGAGATGCTCATTTCCCGAAAATCGGCGGGATATGTGATTTTTTATTCGATTTTCTGGTTCATAAGACTAATTTTTGATTCGTTACATAATTCATGTCGCTTTCCTACTAAAATTCACTATTTTATCACGTATTTCCCAAAAAAAAATATACAACAATAAATTATACACCTCATTACATTATCAAATTTCATACCTTACCTTCCTCCGGCCAAATGACCGGGGCCCACGCTAGTTTATATAATAATAGAGGCTCCAGAATTTAAAAGCAGCCCGTTCATACCTCCGCCCTACCAGACAGTGCCGTATCAGCTTCTTCAACTTCAATAGCCATAGAGGTGTGTGCCTGTCTACACAACTCACACACCTGTCGTCATTGCATATGACATTTGGCACCATTTCACTAACCCACACAACACATCCTCTCTAACTCTGATTGTGATGGCAAAATTGTTCGAAACCCCGA